TTATGAAACAAACATAAACGTGGCAATTAACACCAATGTTAAAGGTGTAATTATATTGGATTGAAGACAGTTAATGAGATGGTAGATATATTTTTTTTATACAATCATCTAGATCCAAGTAGACTCATTTGGGTCCGATCCAGATGAGTTGACTCAAATTGTATTCAATTCAATCTCAAACGTTAACCCAAAAATATCAAATTAAAAGTGCATTTGAGTCCGACACAATACATTGAGTGACTTATTTCCATTCCTACTTGTTTCCTTCAAAAAGGTTTGGGAATTAATTATATATAAAGAATATCTATACATGATGATAATTGGATCAAATTACATTTGAGTGACTTATTTCCATTCTTACTTGTTTCCTTCAAAAAGGTTTGGGAATTAATTATATATAAAGACTATCTATACATGGTGATACACTTAAATTTTAACAAATTGCTTGCTTATTTCAGGAGCATTAGTTTACATCTTGGAATAACGATTAAATATGGAGTCAAGTTCTTGTCATAATATATATGAGTAAAACAAAATTTCGCATTGCATTATTATAAATCATGCATATTATGTATTTTTAATGCACTTTTATTAATCAGTTATACAAATTTATTTATATTAAAAAACATAATAAATTGTGTCACACAAATTTAATAAATTTATCAACGAATCAACTGATTTTGTCAACCACACAAAAACCTATCAACCACTCCTTAGTCCTTGTTTTTATAATTGCCAAAAAAACTACTCTTATTTTGATTAAAATAAATAAGGTGTGATATCAGTTTTGGCACACTATGTGATGTAGAACTTTTTCCTTAAAGACAATCTCAGTTATTAAAATAATAGGCTAATAATCAACCAAGTCAACTTTGAGTGCCACGTGGAGTGAGACAAGGTTTATTTTATTACACCAAAATTTAAAATTCAGATCGTCTACGATTTTTTCACGACCAATTATAATGTCATACCAAAAATAATAATTTGATAACAAAATTGGAACCGAAAGTAAATTAATCATACAATTAACAAATTTGCCCTCTGCACTTAACAGTTAACACCTCTAAGAAGCTGAGCTTGGATATCGACTTTATTCAGATCCAAAAATTTCCTACAAACTTTTAGTTGTACTTGCAGGCAAAGGAAAATGCTTTGTGAAATAACATCAACAAGTTGGCTATCGATTAGCTCGCGTAAAAACAGAGCATATAATTCAAACCTTAAATCATTATCGACTAGATCACACAATAACAACAACAACAACAACAACAAAAAAACATATGATTCAAACTTTACCTATATGTAGCATCGTAAATAACTCGAGTTGTTTTTCAAACCTTACCTAGCTATATGTATCATGTTAATAAACAAACAATTTAGTCTAAATAACTCGAGTTGTTGGAAGAAAGTTAATTGTGAATCATATGTCATTCTCTTATACATCAACATGTCAGAAATTTACTTTAACATATGTAACTCCCCGGAATACATCTTGTGAGATTATCAAAGATTAATCGAAATACCTGAATTCATATTGTAGATCATCTTCAATCTTGTTGCGGAAACTGTAGGACGATCTATGACCGGACGATTAGGAAAATGGGCATTTATGATGAATTGGCAATGTGTGGTTGTTTCTTTGGGGCTATATAGCTAGACACAGATACAGCTGTGTTGAACATGTTTTCTTGAGGATATGGACCACAGGGAAAATGTTTCAGATGTTTGGGCACACAGGTTGTTTGCCTGCCAATCCAAATATGCTATGCTAATCATAATCATTAATTATGAACACCACAGCCCAACACCACAACAACAACAACACAGAGCCTCTCTGTGGTCCATTCTATTTCCCTCTCCATCCCCCCCAATACTCTCACACATGCACCCACACGCCTGTTCTTTGCTTCAATGATTTTAGTTCCATTCATTCATTCAACTCTTCCCCGCCATTCATAAGAATCCAAACCCTAGCTAGAAGAAGAAGAAAAAGGGCAATGACTAATGGAAAACAATAAATACCCAATCTTGGCTTCTTTCTCAGCCCTTTTTCCATTCATTTCATTTTCCAGCAGCAGAGACTTGACACACGCAAGTGAAACTACTGCAGGGCCAGGCTAGCTATGTGTGTATATAGCTAGCTAGCTAGCAGATAGGCTAATTAATTAATTTGGTCATCAGTTCTTCAGCAACGATATTGCTTCTGGGCGCTGATTCCTAACTTAGAGATCGGTCGTATAGCATAGTTCAGCTTTAGCCTAAGTACTCCTGGTTTGCATAATAACACAACATATACTATCACTGTGCTTTGATGACACACATGTACTGTTTTTCTTTTTTCGTTGATTGGGGTTTCGTTCCTAAAACGAAACGTTGTCGAGAACTGGTTGCTCCAATGACTCGATTTATAGGAAAGAGATTTTGTGTTGAACACATACACACTGGTTTAACTTTAAGTGTGAATGATGATGAGACGCCTTCATTTCATATGTTTAAACCAACAGTCTGTATTGGAAGTTATCCGAATACGAATAATCTCGGTCGAAAAACTGATTTTGAATGGGGTTTCATATGTGTAGTCTATGATGTCTTGGTCTACCCACAAATAATGAAGTCATTCATATAATAACATTTCTTCTGAATGGGGTTTCTATGTACTATGACAATTTTAGAAGCTATTTATCTCAGTCATAATCATGTGTCTCATCATCAGTCCAAATGTATGAAAATTGAGTTTCAGTTCATCTGTGAGCATGTTCTGCGCAAGCAGCTTTGTTGTTGGTTGTTATCTTTTGGTTGTTGATCGAGTAGTTAATGTGCTCACCAGGCCCCTAGCTTGGGTCCATCAATAAATCGTAGAAATCTATGTTGAATTATAAGGAAATGAACGCATATTAACGAGAATACTTGACAAAGAGTTATCACCATTATTATTATTATTATTATTATTATTATTATTATTATTATTATTATAATATGTGTAGTATATTCTCATGATCATACAAGAGTGTTTATACCTACCCTAAATTCAAATGAAATCTAGATGCTCCATGTTACATATTTACAATATAACCCTAATTAACCCACAATTATATTAACACCCTTCCCAAATTAATGTGGATCGCACTGTCAATTTGTCATAAAATATCAATAATCATAAGACGAGAATACTTTAGTTAAGAGATCAACAATCTGATCTTCTAACAAAATATACCAGAACTTAATACATCCGTCGGTCACTTATTTGATGGTATAATATAATGAAACTCGCCTTCATAACAGAAAATATGACCGAAAAATCCATGAAACGGTAAGTAGACTCATTGTTAACCAACAAATCAGTGAGTCCAAATTACACGAGTTGTTGGGGGGGGGGGGAAGTTTGATAATCGATTCGTTTACACGCCCTCTCAAACGAGGATTTACTTGTGGCCGGGCTTCCGGTTTGTACATGCTAAACCTATCGTCATCGCTTATGCTAAACCTACTGTTTTGTATCGAGAGTCATCACAATTTAGAATTTCGAGTCAAAGATTTCGATACCGTACATGTCGATAAACAAACCACTTAATTACAATAATAACTCTCGATTTTATCGAGAATAGTTTGATTATCGCGCGTGGGGTTTGCTTACACCCATGACCACCCCGTTTGGTTTGAACTTTGAAAGCATCCTCATTCCTAACTACTCGTTCATTAATACACCACCAAGAAGGAAAAAGGCAAAACAAGTGGGGGGGAAATGAGAGGGGAGAGTTGGGAATTGCGATGATACGGTTTCTAGCTAGGATATGGTTGGAGTTGAACGAGAGTTGGAGTTCGTGGAGGCAGGAGGTGGAGGCCGTAGCAGCAGCAGATAGGTTGCTAGGCTAGGCAATAAGCTGATGAAACCCAAAAAAAGGAAAGCAAGCCATAGTAAATGCAAAAAAAAAAAAATACAAGCAAGCAAGCAAGAAAGAAAGAAAGAAATGGATCGAGAGCAGCGGGCAGGGAAGCGCGCAAGCATACGTCCCTCTCAAATGCACCCCCAGATCTCTCTCTCTCTGTGCTATGCTCTATGCTATGCTTTTTTCATTGTAACAGAAACAGAAACAGAAACAGATGATATGATATGATATGATAGTGTGGCCGCCCTCTCTGCCCTGAAATCAAGCACCCACCACACCACAGATAATATTTATGGTACCCTAAAGAAAAGAAAATAAAAGAAAAGATCATCTCATCTCTCTATCTCCAGTTCCTCCTTCTCTGTCCTCTTTCTCCATTCAAAAGAGTCACGAGAGACCCTCTCTCTATCTCTCTCCTTCTCTATCTGTCTTCTGGTATTTAGTCTTTTGTTGGCTTCTTCTCTCTTTGCTTATTGTAAAATAGAATGAGAGTGTGTGTGTGTGAGAGAGAGAGAGTGATGGCAGAGGAACTGATAGAGAACTTTCAAACCCCGCTCCATCCTTTTCTTCCCCCAAACCCCAACCCCTCTTTTTTTTTTTTTCTTCTTCTTTTTCCCATTTTCATTTTTAGTTCGACTGTTCTTCTTCTAATGAGTTTGTCGTTATAAAAAAGAGAGAGCCAGGCCAGGCCAGGCCACCTTCCCTCAAACTCATACTGAAACTCTTTAATACTATTACATCATGCAGCTTTACTAGTTCCTTTTCTCTCTCTCTCTCTATATATCTATATATCTTTCTCGTTTCCCTTCCATTCAAACATCCTGAGAACATTGAGTTCCATTACCATCCTCTCACCTCTCTCTCTCTCCCTCTCTTTCTGTCTTTCTCTGTCGGTACCATGTACGTCTCCTTCCTCCACCCCACGCCATCAATCAATCAATCACATTTATTACATACATTATGTTTGTTACACCCTGATGGAAAAGAAAAAAAGTTAACAACGAACAGAAAACCAACCCTTACCCATCTCTCGCACGCTACTCCTTCGTAATGGGTTCTCCTTTTTTTGTTTTCATTTCCATGGCGTTGAAAGTGCAGTAATGGGTAATTATAATGTGCAGGAGGCCGGACAGCGACGAGGGCAGCAACCCTTTGGACCTCAACAACCTCCCCGACGACCACAGCGCGAGCAGCAGCAGCAGCAACGCCGCCGCTCGAGACGACGCCGGGAAGGTGTACGAGTGCAGGTTCTGTGCCCTCAGGTTCTGCAAATCCCAAGCCCTCGGCGGCCACATGAACCGACACCGACAAGGCACGCCCCACCTCTTTTCCACTCCACCTCCCCTTCTCCCTTCTCTCAAATCAAATCAAATCAAATCAAATCAAATCAAATCAAATCAGTCAGCGACGGAGGACTCATGTTGTTATTTTTTCATGTAAAATTTCCAGAACGAGAGACGGAGACACTGAACCGCGCTAGGCAGCTCGTGCTCAACAACGACGGCGGCCACATCCTAGGGTAACATAAATTCAAGCCATCCCATCATTTCTACCTTACCTAGCAAAATTTATTTGAAATGTAAAATGTGGCGAACAAACTAACGGTTCGAATCCCTTCAGTAGCTCCTAATTATAAAAACAATCTTATACGTCACATTTATCAGATTTACTCAAAATGTACGTGTATATTTCTACTATTCCATTGTAGCTACCAATACCCAGTGGCGCCACCGGGGAGTGCAATGGCAATGGGAAGAGGAGACCCATTATTCAACCGACCAGTCGTACCGCCGTTATACCAACAACACACCGGCAGCAGGCTCTTCTCCGCCGCCGCCGGTGGCGGTTCGACGTCACCATTGACGTCAGCAACGGCTGCAGGAGGAGGAGGAGGACATCATCATCACCATCATCTCCCACCGCCGTATCTCTACCCCGCCGCCTCTCCTCCACGTGGTAGCTCGACAACTCGTGTGCCACCTCATCAACCAGCTCCGTACTCCAACAACGATTACTACATCGGCCACGTCCTCAACGCCGCGCCACCTCCTCCTCCGGGCCAGCTCAGCAGCACCTACACTTGCGTCGGCGCGCCGGTGGGCCACCGCCGGCTGGGGTCCGATGGGAGCTCCGGCACCGACGGCGGGTCTCTGAGCAACAACAGTGCGAGTAACCATCATCAGGACGAGTATGGTAACGGTAATGGTAATGGTGGGTTGAACTGGGGATCAAGAAGTTACGCCGCATGATCAACCAACATGATTATTATGATGATAATTAGTCAAAATTTCGAAGGATTACTAGTAGTGTTAATTTCTCCTTTTGTTGATTGTTGATCCCAAAATTCGAACCCTGAATGCGGTAGATGTATCATCTGAGGTCAATCGATCCCTTCGAGTTTTGTCCCGCTTTTCTTGTTCGTTGGTTTGGAGTTGTTGTCATTTTGTGTTGTGAATTTATGAAAGCGAGAACCCATAATAGGGTTTTCTTCTCCTTTGTCCTGATAGTCCTCTCTCTCTCTTTCTTTCTCTCTCTCTATGTTTCTCTCATGGTTTGGGAGGAGGGGGGTTGTTTCTGTTTCTGGTTATGTGGGTGTCTAGTTCGGTTGTGAGAATGGCCAATGAGAAGGCGGGGTAATGGAACTAGAACTCTTTTCCTGTCGGAACAGGCAGTTAGATTGGAACTGAATGTGCCTTGTATATATAGTACCCTGACCACTCTCTCTTTCTCTCTCTCTAACTTGTTGCCCTTTTGCATGTCCTCGGCAGCTCGGGTCGTTCTCATGAAAGGGAAAAATGTGTGTTGCAATATTAAAGGGTTTTGTTTAAGTGGTGAAAATAATGTGGCATTGATACTTGAAAAGGGAAATTGTCATGTAGGCCTACTTATTCCCCATTTGGTATTGTGATTATTGAACTAATTAATAACGACGTACTAGTCTGTCATTGATCTGGAATGGTTTCGAGGGAGGGATCTCCAGTTTTATTGATTTTGAATGCGAAGAAAATATTGTATTGCAACGTAATGGGTTTCAAACTTTCAATAGTAAGGAAAACGACCCAACACGGCAGTGGAAATATGTGCTGTTTTGGTATTTAACGGCTGAGAATATAATGTTGGTTGGAATCTTTGATCAGTTGATTTCATAATATAGCAATTAATTAGCTGTCGTTCAATGATTTCAGTATGCAGGGTGTGTTTTCATGGTATTCTGGCTGATCTTGTTACGGATGGTTTTTCTTACAAGAATGGCTGCTAGCTAGTATATGTTTGGAAAACCTCTTTGGCTGAATTGATCCACTAGATTGGGAAGGATGCTTGGATACTGCAATGTGCCACTGATCTGCCGTTAACCATGTGGGTTGTTCTAGTTCTACCTAGAACTAAGGGCTTTTGGAGGCAACAAGTTTGAAGTTTTACAGACGATTGGTCAGTTTGAAGTTGGCAATATCATAGTATACCACTGTTTCATGGATTAGTTCCTTTTCCAAGGAGTACTCTGAAGCTCATGTTAGTTGGATATATTATCATATCATTGTGGGATCCTTATGCATACAAACTCCATGATAAAGTCGCTTCCTAAGGCATTCAAATATTTTAGGCAAAAAGGACTTAGTGTTTGGATATGACACTAAATCCAATTTAATATGTGTCAAATTACGACTAATTTTACTTTTTGGGCATACCTATACCCAACTTTTTAGTTTGGGTCTAAATTGGACTCATAGTATTGGAGGTCCAAAATAAAATGGGTAGCCGATTATAATGCCGTTTTTGTCTTATTTTTTTGTTATGAATGAAAAGGAGGAAATAACTACATGAAAGGTGTATAATTGAGTTTTTTTTTTACAAGAGTACTTGTATTGCAATAAAGTCAAGGTTACAAGGGTTGAGAACCACAATGAAAGCAGAAAAACAGAGCAACAATGGAGTCAAATGTGAAAGTAATCTAAATCAAAAGAGAAGGCCAGAAAAAGAACGGGAAGTAGATTGACCCCAACAAAAATATCTCCACAAAAGGATGCTAACATTGAGAACCCAGAACCCCTTGCTTCCACAACATTCAGCACAGCACAAGCAAGGTTCCAACTCGCCCGAAACCAGACAAGCCCATGGCTATTGAACATTGCAACGCCATAAGCCGCCACCTGGAGATCGTTCAGAGACGACCCATCACAGTGAATCTCATGGAAGGGATTAATCGGCGGTGGGCAGGCTGAAACCGGGATGCTCTGAGCTGAAAAGGCCGAGGAAGCCGGAGGCAAGGATGACCAGGAACCGGGGAAAATGAAGAATCAACTTCACCATCTCCAGAAAGCCAGAGAAACAAAGCCAACGACACCGAAAATGACACCACACCCCCACTTCAGTCGGCTGAAAGTCTTCAAGAAAACCAGTGGAAGAAGGAGGGGAGGAACAGTGAATCTGCTCACCAAAAGAGATGAGCACACCAACTAGGAGCAGAACCCCAAACAGTAAAACACCATTAGAAGCACTCACAAGTTGCAACTTTCAGATCCAAGGAGCAAAGCCAAACCAGATCTACAAACTAAAAAGAACACTGTGGATAAAACCACTTGGAGAGTGACCATGAATGTCCGGAAAAAGCCACCATGGGCTGGAGAAAAATGCAGGGCAAGCAAAACATAGAAAAGAATAGCAAAATTAAAACATTGGGCCACCGCCGGCCAGTAGTGGAAAATTGGCGGCAGCCCTGATGAGCAGTGAAAAGGCACTGGCCTTTAGAGAGAAGGGAGAGCGAACAGATTTTAAAAAACTAAGAGAGAGGAAGACGACCTGACTAGCTGACTGACTCGTGTATAATTGAGTTGATGGTGGATATTGTTTATTGTGTATACAACCATCTAAACCCATTTGGGTCTAATCCAAAAATTACCCAATTCATACTCAACCCAAAACCATTAAAAATGCATCTGGCCATATGGGTCCATTTGGATCGACCCAATACTCATACGGGTCATGGCAATTGGATACCAACGCGTCTACCCATTGTCTACACCCTAATTATCCAAGGTGAATACAGAAAAGTATGTTCAAGCCAAATGTAACAAGCAAGGATAAAATTTTGGGTCGCAAAAGTGGGAGAAAATTGATAAACTGGGTGACTGAATGTGTAAATTATTCACAAAAAAAATTTACGATGCAAATTCTTTTATGATATAAACTAAATTTGTACCTTAAACTTTATGGTTCAATTTTAACTTGTACCTCAAAACACCAATACTTTAGAGCACCGCGAATTGCTAAACAAACTGAGTGAAAGGAAAGAAATTGAAGAAAGGTGCAGAGTCTCCCAATTGAACAGTAAAAAAAAAACCTAACCACAGAATAACATGAACAACAATGATGTGTTGGATTGTTGTGTGTTGTGGCCATCACTCGAGCCGCAGCAGGGCCTGGGGGGTACGAGCAGTCCAAGGTACGTAGGGTTGGCTGTTGGCAGAGCAACTGATAGTGAACTTTCAAAGACCTCCTAGCTTAGCTACCTCCTTTTCTTCCTTTTCCCATTTAATTTATTCATCTCTCTCTCTCTCTCTCTCTCTCTCTCTCTCTCTCTCTAGCTCCCAAGCTAAAACGTCGTCTTCTTTCTCACTTCCTCCCCATCCACTAGCAGTCCCAGATCCTGAAACCAAGATTGTGTTTAATAGCGCCTTCGGCCCCATCTCTCTCTCTGCCCCTCATTGTTGTCTTTCTCTGTCGGTGCCATGTTGGTAATATAATTAACCCCAAACCTCAACTACTTCCCACCCAGCAACTATACCAGTGGTAATTTGTAACCTTTCTGAACAATTCGAGTTATTACGAAAAATCGTTTTTAAGCACGAGCCAATCCCACCCGGCCCCTACCCGCAAGCTGGCTAGCTGCTAGTCATGTTATGACTTATGAGTGTCTTTTTATGAATAGCTTCTAATAAAGTTTAGGGTTGGAGGGTTGTAGTAGGACTAGTCAATGAAGTTGGCCTTTTTGGGGGGGCTAAGGAATGGTCTCATCGACGTTGCCCTAATTGGCTACTTTACTGTCTTTCTTCGAGAGGGTAGTTGGTTCCTAGTTATTGACTTGTTGGCAGGCTTAGGAAATCGGAAAGCGGCGGCGTGGCTGAGAAAAAAGATGAGTTAAGAGTTGAGACTACGTACATGTAGGTAGGGTTTTTGTGGCCTTCAACTTCTCCAAATCTCAGTCCCTCGAAGCACTGTCTCTTCAACCATCTCTCTCTCTCTCCCTTCTTCCCAGACGACTTCTTCTTCTTTTTCTTCCTTGTTTTTGTGTTTGTTTTTCTGGCTGCGTGTAACCTGTCTCGTCAATCAAATCAAAGGAAATGAGGTAGCCAGGAAAACTCTACTGGAGTGGACATGAGTCAGTGATGAGAGTGTTAGAAAATGAAATTGAAATACGAAAGACTCGGATTTACGTGGTATCCCTGAAAAGGTTCAGGACTAGTCCACGGGAGAGCCTCAAGACTCTCCTACTACTGATCGATATTACTTGGTGATCGGCTGCTGTACATAAGAGGAATATATATATGGCCAATACACCCTAGTTCCCTCGGCCATACTTCAAGAGAGGAAGAAAACCCTAGTACACTACGTAAACAAAGGGCCAACAATACAATGTGCACCCGCATGGGCCTGGACATGTGGCACACATGGGCTGGATCCGCTAACAGAGAGAAGAGGGGGTTTGTTATTTCTTCAATGATTGATTTCCCCCGAATCAGTTGGTTGGTTTTCTCGCCATCACATCATAACTCTGACCAGATTAAGAATGCTATTTCAACCTTTCCTTGTTTTTTCCACATTTTACTTCTCACTTCTCAGCTCCAGTTTTGGTTTTGTTTTCTTCTTGCTTTGTTATATACTGGCCCTTTTTCATTCTTCATCATGGAACCAAAATTCACTTGGCCTGATCACCGCTCAAGAGAGCGGTATAAAAATTAATTATATGCTGACTAGGTGATTTATTAGAATTAATTAGTTCAAGATATGTATCAGAATTTTTTTTTTATCAAAAGTAGAGGTGATAATTCTCAATTCAATCCACCAACCCATTAAAAATATCCACCTAATTCAATCCATTTAAACCAGGGGTGGAGCTACAGCAGCCCCGAGAATTTTGAAAATTATGTATAATTGGTTCGGGATTATACGTAAAATATTAAGACTGTTATAAAATTAAGCAGCGTGCAAACTAGTAACAAGAAAGGGCATTTAGTCCAATGGCAGTTCGTTG